CCCCGCCGCGAGCGGCGCCGCTGCCCGACCGGCCGAGGGGGCGCGCCCCCCCTCATTTCATTCGCTGCAGGCACGAGGTCGGGAACCCACGCTTCAAACACGTGTCATTACTCAACAGGCTGTGCGTGCTCGTTACTGCCCCCCCAACAGGATGAACCAACCCCCTCCCTCACCTGGAACCCCGCTTGGTGGCCCTTCACCCCGCACACGTGGCACACGTCGCCGCCTTTCTTTTTCAACGAAACAGATATGGGCTTCGCGCGCTTGGCGCCGCCCGTGCCGCTGCCGCCACCGCGGCGCTGCGCGGCGCTGGGGTCCCGTCGCTCTTCGTCCTCGTCCCCATCGTCCGACCCCTCCTGCTCCTCGTCCTCCTGACCTGGGTCGTCATCCGACCCGTCCACCGGGTCTTCGCTTTCGGAGCTGCTGGAGCTGACGTCGTCGCTCTCCTCCTCTTGGGCCACCACCAGGCGGGCGCGGCGGGGCGGCGGCATCGCCGCAACGCTTGAGCGGGCCGTGTGGTGCGGAGTGCAGAGCGCGCACAGCACCGCCGACACACGAGCTATGCAAGCGAGTGTGCGGCCCTTCAATCACGACAAGCACAATGCTCTTGATGATGAATTATGTCGCAAACAAGAAGGCCCGGGTTGATGGCACGGTAGGAATTCTGACAGTGATCTGCGGACCATGCATCGTTGACTTATAATAATTGAAGATGACTGGGCACATGGTTGAGTGTTTCCACAAGTGATGCGCCCAGGTGACACCACAGCACCGCAGCGCAAGCGCCCAAGTGACGCCGCCAATGCCTCCGACGGGCAGCGCCCGCTCACACAAGGTTGCTGCATACTGGTACAGTACAAGATGAAAAGATGATGCTGTCGGTACATACAGTGTGACTCCTTCAAATGAGATGGGTAACAGACATTTGCAGGCACATGGCGCATTGGGAAGCCCCTGAGGCCAAACCGCCCCGGGCAATACACTTGAACGACTGCCGCAGCCGCCCGCCAGGCTAGGCGACTGCCACGAACACGGCAGTGTATCACCTACACCATCCCACCCTCTCTGGTGTTCCGGACGGAATCCCCGGGGATCCCTGGGGGAAGGCCAAAACGCGTTTCTGAACCCAAGGCTGCCGATGAGCATGGGACCTACAGCAAGTCAGCAGGCATGAGCAATGGTCGCAGGAGCAGCAGCAGCTTTGAGCAAACGGCGGCATGTATGTAGTGGTTGCACCGCGCCGACATGCAGTTCATATCCAGTGCTTTGAGTGCTTTGCGCATATCCAGTTCCTTCGGTGTTCATATATGTGTGGTTGACCAAGCCGTCAGCCTATCACAGGCGTGCCTGTTCCAGAAGGTGAATAACATTCCATTTTTGCGGCTGTACAAGACCAAATGTGATTTGGACTCTCATGCAGCAGGCGCCATGAGGTGTTTCGGCAAGTGTCACCAACAGATCTGGGGTTCCAACATGCTTCCAAGACAATGGTTGTATATACATACACGCCCACACTATAACTCTCATATGGTTCAACGGTTCAAGACGCACAGTTGCCAATGGCTCAGAGTGCATCCCGTGAAAGCACAGTTACGCACTCCTTCGCGAGGAGGTCACGGCCATCGAATGTCAAATGTGCGCACAAATAGATCCAGAATTACTTGATACAGCCCATGCGTCCTGCCACCGGAGCTTCAAGCATCGCTGGGCCGCCCCATCTCACTCGCCGAGGTGCCACCCGTCTGCCGCATGAACGCCCGCATCAGCGCCCCCGCCCATGGCTCCTCGTCGCATGATACTGCAGGTGTGCGGCCAATACGGCGTGCAGCAGCCACCGTGGCCGTGGTGGTGCTGGCGTTCCTGCACGGGGGCCGCCCCGTGTCGGCGGCAGGAGCTGAGGAGTGGCGCGGGCGCGTGCTGTACCAGTTGCTGGTGGATCGGTGAGCAGGGGCTGCGGTGGGCCGAGATCACTTATGTCGGCCCGTGCAGGCGGAAAAAAGCGCCGCTCATATCCTTGCAGCTGGAAGTCAACGGCAACGTTGACATCACTGCATCGCGTCTGCGCTGTGCGTGCTTGTAGGTTCAATTCAAGGAGCGCGGCCCCGTGCTTGGACCTGAAAGGGTGGTGCGGGGGTGAGCGCACCAAAGCAGAACCCTACACAGCGCTGGTGGACGGAGCATGCATCAGTAGGAGCGGCCCGACCAGCGGTGCATGCCCCTGATGCGCGTCCAACAACCGTATACTGTATATTGGTGTTGGTTTGTGCGGCTTGCTTGCGCTGGGACCCACAGCAGCGACGACTGGCACTCCCTTGACCCCTCGCCACACACGTCAACAACATGCCACAACGCATGCCGTCACCCGCCGCCAGGCACACTGAACGGAGTGGCTGAACGCCTGGATTACGTCGCGAGTCTTGGCGCCGACGCTATCTGGATCAGCCCGGTGGTGCGGCAGTGCCCCAGGCGGCGACTCGGGGTGGCACCCTACCACGGATACTGGGCCCAGGGTGGGCTGCTCCCTGGGCGGGTGGTGGATGATTGGGGAGTTGCACGAGGGGCGATGGGCTGCGCAGGACAGCATCCCGTGGCACATTGCTGCCCGAGCGGCGCCGCAAGCCTCATATGCATCAAGGCCCAAACCAAATCCAACACATGTGCACAGCTCAGAGCAACTTTGCTGGCATTACGTATTACCCAGGCTCTCCTGAAGCCTTCACCCGCCGACACGCCGTAGTCACGTGTTGTGTGCGCGTGCACTCGCGCACACACGGCCGCGCACACACGCGCGCACACGTGTGTGCGTGCGCGCACACACGCGCACACACACACACATACACACACACACACACACACACACACACACACACGAATCTGCAGATCTATACGCCATCGAGCCTCACATCGGCACACCAGACGACCTCCGAGCGCTGGTGGAGAAGGGCCACAATGCTGGTGAGCTCGCTTTTTTCCCAACTCCTTTCACGCTCGAAAGCGCACGCGCCGCCCTCAACACCGCCATCACTGCCGCTGCCCTTGCCCCACGCAGGCCTCTTAGTGATGCTGGACGTGGTGGCCAACCATGTGGGCGCCTGCGACACATCCACCATCCACCCCTTTGACAGCCCATACCACTACCACGACTGCTCAGGTGCCGTGGAGTGCACGAACGCGCGTGCTTGTCTGGCTCCTCGGGTGCCAAGTAACCCCTCACCCCCAGCCCCACCAAGGGGCCTCCTACTTTTCTGTGGCCTTCACCCTGCCATGGGCTTCCCGCATTATGCAGCAGGCGTTTGCCACCAAAACATCCGTGATTGTTGACGATTGCATCCCCTGTGTCCCTGCCAATTTCGTCGCGCCCCCCCCCCCCGCGCTTGCACCTCGCACACACATGCAAAACCAACAAAAAACACATCAAGGCTGCGACGGCAGCTGCAGCATCCCCCGTGCCGCCTTTGATGCGGCGGATGAGGGCCCCCTGGAGCACTGCCGCCTGGCGGGGCTGCCAGACCTTAACCAGTCCCACCCCTTCGTGCGCCACGAGGTAGGACGGCCGCGCGCGCGACCCTGACACTGGTGGGACTCTGGTGCCATGGCGATTGGTGCGTGATGGTCATGCGTGGGGGCCCTTTAAACCTGCTGCCTGAATGGCTTGTTGCAGCATTGTCTGAGGGTATGCCGGATTGGGGTTTTTGAGACAGGCGGGCTTAGCCCTGATTTTGATATGCACTTCTTTGGCACCCTCAATCTCGAGGACAAAAATCATCCTTGCCATGTAATAACCACTCCTGCCCGCCTGATTGCCTCGTCATGCCTCGGCCCTCCCTACTCCCCACCAGCTGCTGAGGTGGGTGGGCTTCATGGTGACGACCTTCTCGCTTGACGGCCTCAGGGTGGACACGGCGCCTGAGGTGGCGCGGCCCTTCTGGCGGGAGTTCAGCGGTGCCGCCGGCGTGTTCACGCTGGGCGAGGTTGCATTCACTGGTGGGGTGGGGTTGCTAGAGGCAAGGGGGTGGATACCATAGCCGTGCGATCGATGGCACCAAGGGAAGCAAGTCGGTCAGAAGGGTAAGGGTTGCAATTGCTGTACTCTCTGCGCATTTTTTCAAATTGAGCATACATAATCCACTCCTGTGTGCGCCTGCAACCCATCCCTGAAAATCGTGAAACCTCCCTCCCTGCCACGTCGCAATGCCGCTCAGCAGCGCAACTCGATCGCAACCCTGAGCTTATCAGGTGTGAAGAGCCCGATCCCCCAACGCAAAGCCAACCCATCGCCTCGTCCATCGGCTGCCCCTTTTCCCCAACACAGGGCTGGAGCGGCTGGGCTTTGTCGCGTCCTACGCCGGCCCTGGGGCGCTGGGCTCTGTGCTGTCCTACCCGATGTACGGCGCCCTGAGGGGTGTCTTTGGGGAGGGCCAAGACATGGACCTGTGAGTGCTCACGATCAAGCATCGATGACATCATGATGTGCAATTGTGTGTGAGATATATCGTGTGTGTGTGTGTGTGTGTGTGTGCGCGCGCGTGCGAGTGCGTTTGTATGTGTGTGTGTGTGTGTGTGTGTGTGTGTGTGTGTGTGTGTGTGTGTGTGTGTGTGTGTG